AAGAGGTATGTTTTGTCAATCATTCGGAACTCTCCGAGGGTTCTTATAGGAAAAGCTGATCTAGGAACGCGTTTTTCATCATTTTAAATGGTAACGACCGAGAACGCGTTCCGAGAACGTGAAAGCCGTTTTTTTAAGAAAAGAAAACGTTCTTTAAGGATGAGAACATGTTCTTGACCGTTCCATTTCGGAACGGATTCTACTTTTATAAGCAAACGTTTTTTTTCTTAAAAAAAGTTTTCTACGAAATTGGAACGCGTTCTTTGCCGTTCTTTTTGATAAATATTTTTCACTGGGTCGCACGAGTTCAATGAAACCTATAAGAATATGAAATTTTAAAAAAGCTGTTAATCTTATTTCCAATACAAAAGTTGAAGAAAACTGGAAAAACTAATACCGATTTTATATATCAAATATCAGAAAAAGTAAGCGAAGCTGATAAAAGTTTTACTAGGGACAAATTTTACTCATGTGTTTACGATGCTCAAAAAAGTTATTATGTATAGGGATATTATCTCTTTTCCCTTTCAAAATAGTACGAAGGTAATTTTTTGGAATACACATTCAGATAATGATTATTTGTTTTCATATACAATGATTATCTTCGACAAGGTTTCATAAGTTGGAGGTTTAAAGTAGTTGTATAAAATTCAATAACTCATGGAAACTTCTCACTATGTTTCATCAGCCGTTTTGAGTGTTGTTTTGATTAGATAGTCTTAATCTATGTCCTCCATCATTAATTATTGATGGCCCATTTAATTTGAAATGAAAAAATACTGCCTGTAGATCGACACTATATCGGCAGTTTTTTTTTGGAAAACTGTGCATCGAAATGACTGAGTATTTCTTTTAAATGTGATGAAATCGTCGGAATTCATGAAATTCAGCGATCTCAAATAGCAGTGATGGGTCTGGGTTCTCTATTTTAACCATAGAGCTAAAGTCGGTACCGATGCTGTGATCAATTATTCATTATATGTGACGATACAGAAGTTAGTATTCCTGAAAACAATTGTAAAAATATTTTCATTCTCAGTAGTTCAGAATTTTTTTTGAATAGTAAATTCGAATTTGATTAGAAATGGCTTCTTGGAACGGTTTAGATCTAGAACTGGAAGTTAAATAGATTCCACCAGAGAAAATCAAAGACGCCTACATAGACATCCAGATGTTAAAACCTGCAGTCATCTCCGCACATTCTTGTAAATTTAACAATTGTGGTTGCAACGATTCTCAGTATTAGAAAGGCATAGGTGTTGACTATTATGTTTTTTCATGATTTCTATCATTCACGTTAAAATTGAAAGAGATTGGAAAACTGAAAAATTACGCTCATGTAAAGAATTTGACACATTATAGAGCGCTACATGCTTGCTTGCACGCGCTCTTTCATTTTATTATGAGCGATGATAGGTGAAGTCACGGATCTAAAGGTGATCAAACGAACGTGTTCATGTTTCGTATTTAAATTCAGTAGGCATCCCATGTAATCACGAAACGCAAGATCGATGCGTTGAAACGCGGTTTCACAACAAAACGCGTCTAGACGCAGTTAAAAACGGTTTCACAACGCATTCAAATGCATTTTTAATATGAAGCACGTTGAGACGCAGTTAAAAAACTTTTGAAACGCGTCTGAACGCAGTTTTTGTATGCAACGTGTTGAAACGCAATTGTAAAAAAACTATGAACCGCGTCTCAACGCGTTTCATATTGAAATTGCGTTTGTACGTGTTTAATAAGAGTTTGACTGAACGCGTTCAAACGTGGTGTAATATGAGAAGCGTTGAGACGCAGTTAGAAAAAATTTTGAAACGTGTCTGGACGCAGGTTTTCTATACAAGGCGTTTAAACGCAATCAGAAAAAAATGAACCGCGTTTCGACACGTTTCAGAAAAAAATTTAATGCGTTTAAAAAAATTTTGTTTACGAACTTCGTTCAAACGTGTCTTAAATATGTTTTTCGCTCGCGTTAGGACGCTATCATATTTTCGAGTGCCTTTGAAAGTGTTTATTTTTTGTGTATCGGACGCGATTTTACCCAAAAATTGCTGCTCTAGAAGAGTTAACTGCATAATCAAAATCATCAGCTTACATGTATTTTATTCATCTAAACTTCATTAGACTTCTAATAAAGAATGTCGAGATGACGTTAAAATAAACAAAATTCAATTAAACATACGGTGAACAGTCCATATTTCTCTAAAGTTTGTAAGAAAAATAGTTAGATAATATTGTAATAGTTTCCAGCTATGCAATGCCCTTTCAGAATATTGTTAAATACTACTATTTAAATAATATTATTAGTAACTTTTCATCATATATTTCTACTAAATTGGTTGTCAATAATTATCTATTCATTAAATTTTTCGATAAAATTATTTATCATATTACCAGTGCAATAAAAAAGGTCGTAATATTTTTTATGTGTAGTAGATGATAAAAAAAAGATGTTATTTTATTAAAAAAATACAAAACTTATTTAAAAAAATAACTAAAAAGTCATCTTACGTGTTAAGACTCTTGAATTCGAAAAAAATACATCTTGTTAAAATAAAGTATTTAACCGATGAAATTCGTCTTCAAATATATTTTATTTTGAATAAGACAAGATTTCGAGTTAGTATAACTCAGCGGTATGTATGAACGACTTCTAATCGCTGGTTCATCTGTTCAAATCTGATCGTCGTCGCTTAAGGTAAAATCTAATCCATTTGCCAGGGAAGGCTAAGACCATCAAAAAATATTGATGGTGGCGACTCAGTTCGAATCTGAAATGGATTATCATATTTTTTTCAAAATTTTTAGTTTTTTTATGAAACGCGTCCAGACGCATTAAATGTTTCATCTGGGACGCGTTTTCGCTAAAAATGCGTTTGAACGCAAGTCAAGCTAGAAGCGCATTCACACGCGTTTCTAAAATAAATCGCGTCTAAACGCTCCGTTTGTTTCACTGGGGACGCGTTCGAACGGGTTCACTCTTAGCGTTTCGCACGCAAATGAAACGCGTTTCAGACGCGTTTTGAGGCAAAAAATATTTACATGGGATTAGTCTGAAAACTTTTCAGAAACAATTATATTTTATTTTAAATGAAAAGCAAGCCACAAACGAATGCAATTATGACACGAAAACATTTCTTTATTTATCTTGTTTTTTGGTTTGTTCTTCTTCTTCTTGTTCTTCGCGTCCAACTTGCTGTTTCTATTCTTCCGGTTTCTTTTGTTGTTCATGTTCTTCTGGTTCCTCATGTTCTTCCTGTTTATCATCAGTGTTATCATTGCTCCAGTCGTACACAGAAATGCAATTGGAGCCAGTAGAACATGAATTACAGCTACCACCATATTCATTTGGCAAATGATCAGAATCAATATGTTGTAATAATGATGCTGATGTTTGAGAACCTTTTTTTATAACAATAATTTTTTCTGTCATCACAGGGCCAAGCCAATATTTCACAAAATTCCAAAGTGGAAAAAATTGCTGGTGGATTTACTACAAACATTTGTCCAAAACGTTCAGGATAATAGTTGTTATTGCATAACCGTGTACATCTAAAATCATAGCAAAACTTTCCACATGTTTTCCCGTCTGCCGGCTAAGTTGTCTTGCTAATTGACAATCGTATTCAAGGGAATAAATATGACATTGAATCAGTTCTTCTGGTGTAAACATCTTCAATATTTTATTCACATGACTTAAACCGAATTTTTCAATATACAATGGTCGATGAGCTTTTGTATGACCATGATGAGCACTTGTAACAATTTTTCGGTAGAGATTCATTCGATCTAATGTAGGTGCATGGTCAAGAATTGAATCAACATCATTGTCTATTCGTCATTGTATCATTTCTTGAATAGATTTGATCGTATTTGCTACATTCCAATTTCGAGCACGAAAGAATCTGTGCAATTCATAGCGCCATTCATTTTCTTCTTGTTCACTATCAAATTCAGTCTTCGGAGTTAAATTACTTTTATGTTGAAGATAAGATACATGTCTTGATTTTAATTCATTGTAAACGGTATTATATTTAATTTGCTGCTCAGCATTTAATTGATCAATGTCAAACAAGGGACTAGTGACAACCCTTGTTGTATATACTTATCTTAAAATTTGTTATAATTAGTCAGCTTCTTAGTCGGAATGTAAGTGTGTTGGTATATTTTTTTGACAATATGATGTGTATGTAAAGTATATCGTGCAAAAATGAAATGAAACGAAAAACAAAGGTAAATCACATGTGCAGGATACGATAGTTGGATGATTGTTAAGTGTGACGTCGAATCTGTAATCAAAACTTCATCAATCATGCATTACAATAAACAAGCTGTATACAGTCGTTTTTAGTGTTTCTGGAATGCCTACACAAAAAAAAGGGAGAAGGTGATTGAGATAAACAGTTTGAAAATTGTGAAAATCAAAGTAATGGCATACCGTCAGAAGGGTTAAAAAAACGTGCCTTGCTTCAGATTAATAGTAGGGGTGTTGCTCAGTAGTGACATCCATGTTTTTTTGGGACCTATAAATAAACTCAAAATCTTCTCATATAATGTACTATAGAGCTAGAAAAGATAATTTTCATCATATGCTTATAAGAGGCAAGCCTCATTTTTATAAATAATGAATGACGAAAGTGGCCTATTTCTACAGAGACAGAACATTCTAATAAATGGCTATGAGAGCACGGCTACGTCTTGCTTAACACTTGAATGTAGCATTATTTATAAGATTTTGATCTCATAAATGAAACTTCAAAGACCATTTATATTCAAATTTAACATAAATATGGTGAACAGGGAGAAAATGGATTTATAAATTCATAGTTGTCATGATTGACGATATTTCTTCTAACGTTCCTTAGATGAAAAGATCTTTTTGTGCACAAAATAAATATAAAATATAAAAACACGAATGATATAACAGATATTTGACAATGAAAGAAAAAACAAAACAATAAATTTTTGATCTTGTAAAATAGTACATTAGAGTATTCGTATATCAAAACTATTTTTTTACCGGGAACAATCTGAATGAAAACTTTCTAGTGAAATTCAATTATAAAACTGTTTAAAATACATGTAACCTGACTTAGTTTACATTGTCAAGATGTATTTATATTAAAATCTGATTTTAATCGTTTTCGTTTACTCAGAGATGGGCAAGTCAGAGTCATGACTCGAACTCGAGTCACATTTTTTAATGACTCTGACTTGACTTGAACTCGAAAATTAGTAGGTGTTGACTCGACCACGTGACTCGAATCATCCTTTCAAAAACAAATTTCATCTGCTTTTTTAAAAAGCCAGAATTTTTAGTATGAAACACTCACTGTATGTACGCTTTTACACCATAAAATAAATAAAAAATTTCTATTGCATCGTATATATTTACTATCACTTTGTTCGTTGCGTATCGATTATTAATTCTTAATCAAATTCGTTGTTTTACAGGCATACAAACTTGCGCACGCTATTCACTAACTGCTTTGACTGTATAACTGACTGATCATACGCTAATTGTTTTCGCTATGTATTAATTTCCTTGAACTTCGGATACAAAATAATGATCGTGAAAAAGAAACTGAGTGTATCATCTACTTAATCTATGATTAATTTTTTTTACACCAAAACCTAATAAGAGGGCGTCCATGAGATCATCGAGGAATTTTTAAAGGGTCCATACTCCCGAAAATTTTGGCCACCTCATTTTATTTGTGGAATCGATAGCCCATGAGGTGAAACTACTCTACCCAAAATATTTGCTCGATTGATTATATAACAAAAAAGTTATGCAGACCACACTGATGACTAACACTGATTAAGTCAAAATTGATACGACGTAGTTATCAAGCAAAAATCAGTATTTTTGAAAAATTATCTCTCAAGATTAGTTGATCCCAGAAATTTGGATCGTACATCGGATGGGCAAATAAAAAAGCTACAAAACCAGCCTAAAACAAAAAGTTTTTAATCCGTAAAAAAAAAATTTTTTTTTGGGAGTATGGGATTTCTCGATCCTGTGGTGGACTCTCTCATAAGAAACATCACGTCGTAAGAAACTTGCTTTTCTGTTCTTTATAATGATAAGTCGAAGATAAAAAATGGGTAGAAATGTTTTGACTCGCCCATCTCTGCATTTGCTTGATCGTGCACATATTCTAATTTTATTCAAGTTCTAAACTGAAAATGATAAATCATGGTAATATTTTTCGTTACAACTGCAACTTTCCGTTACGCTATAAAAGCTGCTTATTACTTCTACATTTGTACTTGAAGCAATTGGTGAAAGTCAACTATTGAATGGAACTGTGATGATGCTATACTTTTTGCTGTATTTCTATTGTTATTCAATGAACAGCATATTAATGGGCGACAATAACTGTGCTCCATAAAAAATGATTCAGTTTCATCATTATTTGGATAACTACATTTATCATCCGAATTAAATTGGAATAAAACACAAACGACCACTATGACGAAAATTAAAGAGAACTGCACAAATAAAATGCTTTTGGTCTAAAAAAAAATTTAGAAAAATTGTCTTCTAACCATAAGAATATCGTTCGATGATAAATTAAATTTAGAATGTTTG